CAGGTCACGATCTCGCGGTCCGTGAGTTCGAGCCCCGCGTCGGGCTCTGGGCTGATGGCTCAGAGCCTGGAGCCTGTTTCCGATTCTGTGTCTCCCTCTCTCTCTGCCCCTCCCCCGTTCATGCTCTGTCTCTCTCTGTCCCAAAAAATAAATAAATGTTAAAAAAAAAAAAAAAAATTAAAAAAAAAAAAAAAAAAAAAAAAAAAAAAAAAAAAGAGGAAAAGAACAGCTGGAAGCTGAATGAGCTGAGCAGATACTTCAGCTGCTGCCCATTACAGGGGAGTCAATTTGGCGTTTGAGTCTCGCCAAGTAAGAGGTTTTGGTAAACATTTCAGTCTTTCCACTGAAATGCCCAAAGGGTCACAATCTAAGAGTAAAGACCATGTGGTTGGGATAAAGAATTTTCCCTAAGGCTAAGAGCAAATCAGAAAGAGATCAACCATAAAAAAATTAATAATCAAACCATCACAAGTTCAAGTTGAGCAGACTGCTAGAACAAAACTGTACAGCATTCAAAGATCATAGAATGTAGTCTCTACAATGTAGCACAACAATGGCTAGCACACAGTAAAAATTTACGAGCCACGAGCAAAGAAACAGGAGCATATGACCCTCTTCCTAACTCAACCATTAGAAATAACCACAAATAACCCAGATATTGGAATTAGTAGAATAAGTCTTTAAAGTAACTCTTCTAAATACGTTAAAGAATCTAAAACAAAAGATAGAAATAATGGGTGAAGAGAAGAAGAATCTCAGGAAAGATTTGGAAACAGTAAAAAGATGTCAAATGGACTTTGACAAAAGGAAGGCACAAGATCTGAAAGTTAAAAAAAAAAAAAATCACTGGATGGATTTAACAACAGACTAGACACAACAAAAGATAGTATTAATGGACCTGAGGATAGTGCAATAGAAATATGATAGTTGCATATAATTTGCAACACACAGAGAAAAAAAGGACTTAAAAAAATGAACACAGCCTTAATTACCTGTAAGGTGTATCAAGCAATCTAACAACTATAATCCATGCCCAAAGAGAGGAGAGAGAAAATAGGGTTGAAAAAAAGTTAAACAATAGCAGAAATTTTTCCACGTTTGATTTAGACCAAAAAATAAGAACAAGCCACTAGGAAGCAAAGCAAACCCCAAGCTAGATAAACATGAAGAAAATTATACCAAAGGGCATTGTAGTCACAGGCAAAACACAGAAAGAAAGAAAAAAAGAAATCACATTACATAAAGGGGGAACAACAACAGGGATTATAATGGACTCATCATCAGAAACAATGGATGCCAGAAGACAATGTAAGAACATTTTTAAAGTGTTGAAAGAAAAACCTGTCACATTAGAATTCTATGTGCAGAAAAATTTCTTTCAAAAATGAGAATAAAGCGTGCTTGGGTGGCTCAGTTGGTTATGCGTCTGACTTTGGCTCTGGTCATGATCTCATGGTTCACAGGTTTGAGGCCCATGTCAGGCTCTGTGCTGACAGAGCTGGCTTTGGATTCTGTGTCTCCCTCTCTCTCTGCCTGCTCCCCTGTCTCCCACTTGTGCTCTGTCTCTCTCTCTCTCTTTCAAAAATAAACATTAAAAAATAAATTAAAGGTGAGAATGAAATAGGGGGTGCCTGGGTGGCTCAGTTGGTTAAGTGTCCAATTCTGATTTCGGCTCAGGTCATTACCTCACAGTTTGTGAGATCAAGCCTTGAGTCAGGCTCTGTGTTAACAGCACGGAGCCTGCTTGGGATTCTCTCTCTCCCTCTGTCTCTCTGCCCTTCCCCTGTTTGCCTGTGTGTGCTCTCTCTCTCCCTCTCTTTCTCAAAATAAATAAACTTTAAAAAATGAGAACAAAATAAAGACATTTTCAGATAAATGCAGAGTAAATTGTTACCAGTACACCTGCACCTCAAAAAACATGAAAAGAAATTCTCAGGCTAAAGAAAAATTGAAAGCAGATAGAAATCCAAAGCTAGAAAGTAAGGATGAGCACTGGGAATGGTAAATATGTAGGTAAATGTATTCCTTGCCATTAATATTTTCCAAGTCAACTGTTTAAAGCAAGAATAACAATGCATATGGGTTTATAACACATGAAGTAAAATATAAAAACAACAGCACAAAGGATGAGAGTGAGTGTGAATTCAAATAATCTGTTTTAGGCTCATACATGATACATGAAGTAGTATACTAGTAATTCCAGGTAGATTGGAATAAGTTAGGATATACACTTTAATTTCTCGAGCAACAGCTAACAACAACAACAAAAAGTTAAAGGGCCAAGCTCATGGTCAGTTCCATGGGCATCTCACAGAAATTCTGTGGTATGCAGACTCAGAGAGGGAGTCTGTTAGGGGTGCCTGAAGGTTGCCCTGTCCAGGGGTGGGCTTGGAGGACAAAGGGGTGGCTGCCCGTGTACAAGCATCTTTCGGGACATAGGTGCCACAAGTTCCCCGGGTCAATGCCAGCTTGCCCCTCCATGGCCAGCCCCACCCCATGGCCCCTAACCCTCTGTGGCACGCTCCATGCTGCAGATCCTATTTTGTCAGCTGCACTTCCTCCATTCCCTGTTGAATTCTACCGTGTTGAGCTTGTGCCGCGTCCTTGTGATTCTTCCCTCACTAGGTGCTTGCCCTGCCACGCTTGGGACCCCGTCTGCCTCTGTCATTTCAGTACTTGGTCCCATACTGTCTTTTGTGTTCACGCTGTTCATCCCAAAGACCCGTGGAGCTCCTGGGGGTCCCGGGTTGTGTCGGTCTTATCCTTATTCTCCCCTTCGATGGCGAGCACAGTATCATAGTGTACAGTTCATGCTCAAAGATATTAAATGCATTATTAAAGTATATTCCTGTCCTCCAGCCCTGGTCATAGAAGTGATCTCTTCAGAATTTGGGCAACTTGGGTATACAATTTTGTAATGAGTATGGAGCAAATCTCTTTGAGCAAGAACAAACCATATTCATGTGTACTTCTCTGGAGGTTCTTTATCTCCGTTAACTCTGCTGGCTGCTCATCGCAGTCCACAATATAGGTGTTACCTATCTGCCTGACTCCAGAACCCTCTACACCAGCACTTCTCAAACTGTCATTTTTGTCACACCCTCTAGGGATTCTATTAGAATGTAGATCCTGACTCAGTAGGTCTGGGATGGGGGTTAGGATTCTGCACTTTTAATAGCTCCCAGAGAATGTCAGTGGTACCAGTCCAGGGTCTTTGGGGGAGCAGAGCTCAGACAACCCCAAAGGTGGGGTTCACCTCTCACTTACAACAGCGCAAATCACTTTTTTTCTGCCTCTGAGTTCCAGAAGGAGGAATGGAATTGTTCAGAGGCTCCCTGCAGACTTAGCCCTGAGCCAATGCTTTCATGCATGGCATCTCACTTCATCCTTGTAACAGACCCAGCAGGCCAGCTGACTCTGCCATTCTTCCTCCACAAGTGAAGGAACCGAGGCTCAGAGAGGTCCAAGGACGCACAGCTAGTGGGTAGTAGGAGTGGGATTGGTTCCAGGGTCAGCCTGGTCCTACAGTTCATGGAGAGACTTCTTAGGAGTATTCATGCATTAGAACCTCCAGGGAGAACTTAAAACATCTCAACATCTGTCCACAAAGGAGCATCCAGGTGACAGAGTGTCCAGATTTGGTCTGCCGGACATACCCTTGGTGGTTAATGCTATCATAAAATGATAAATCCGAGTCACTTCAAAGATTTCCAAGGGAAAGGGCAGGCAGGGCATACTAGTTAAGTAAAAGCTGAGGACTCTCTTTTCAAAATTCAAGAAGTCCCCTAAGGACTGGGTGATCCAGAGAACCCGTGGCCCAACCTCTCCACCTATGCGGCTCATAGTAGGCCTGAGGGGGTCAAAGACAAAAGGCAAAGTCATCTGAGCAAAGGCAAAGCAGCAGGGAAGGCAGCATCCTCGCATGCCGTTGAATGAGCATGAGCACCTCCAAACTGAGAGTCCCATGTGAGGACAGCGGTGCCCCCAAACCATCTGGACGGTCAGGGACCATTCACACTCGTGGCATGTACCTGCTCAGTTCCCAGTCATTTCATTACCTCGGAGTACTTGCTGACTGCCAGTCTGAATTGTCAAACTGCCAGGCTCAGGTGGGGAAGGCAGACTGTTCTCAAGCCTTCTCCTAGCAAGGGTGGCTTCACTCACAAATGGGGAAGCCCAAAAGTGGAAGCAGAAACACCTGGGGTTTTCATAACTGTCCAGAAGAGAGCTGGGCACATAGTGAGTATGAGGAATGCATTCAGTATTCTAAGGATCCTGAGTACCTAACAACGGTTAAGTCAACCATGTCATAACTGTTTGACATTGCTCCTTACAGAGACCTGGAAGAGCTGACCCCCATTGCCTGTAGTGAACAAGATGGCAGGACAGCTACATTCAGGGGACACTTCATGAAGCAGAGTTGCCATGGGCTGCCCATAAGTCATGAGTGGACTGAACCAAAGGGAGAGGCAGGGAGAGTTCTTTGGGGTGATGGGAAGAATGTTCCAAGTCCAGGCGTAAATTGGGAAGAGCACATGTGACTGGGGGACACTATGACAAATGTCCTTTGGCTAATGCTGAGGGGCAGGGGCAGGAGAAGTGGGCCACCAGGCTCGAGCAGGAGTTGGGGCAATGAAAGGCCTTGATCCCAGGTAAGGACAGTACAGTGTGTTGTGAATGTCACAGGGAGCCGCCATAGGGCTGTGAGCAGCAGGGAACCAACGTGGTCTGGTTGACCATGGTGAGTCAGACTAGCAGGATCGGAAAAGAGAGAGAGGGTGCCTTTCTGATGGCTTTTCAGCCAAAACAGTGAGCGATGCCTCTGCCTCCAGGTCCTGAGCACTGAGTGCTGGCTGCCTGGCCGTGGCACACGGGCACGAGGCTTCAGGCTGTGGCCAGGCCAAGGCCAGAGGCACAGCTGCTGAGCCCTGCAGGGAGGGACCCCCAGCGCCCCTGCAGCGGGCCCTGAAGCTCCCAGGCTGTGTGCTCCCGGACCTTACCTCCTATTTTCGCATTGTATGCTATGCCCACGATGCAGTATGAGTTGTTGGCTGAAGCAGCGACCTCTCCTGCGCACCGGGTGCCGTGTCTGAAGCAGAGCAGAAAACAGAGTCAGGGCTCAGCCCCCCGATTTGTAGCAGGTTCGGTGCAAGGCTCGGGTCTCCTACAAGGACAGTCAGTTATCCCTAAGTCCAGATGGGACACGAAAGCCTATGTCCTGCCTCCTTCTCTCCTCGACACCACTTACCCTGCCTCCCATGGCTGGCTCCTCTGGGAGGGGGCACCAGGCCAGGGTTTGCATAGACCTGGGCGGTCCTGTCCCCGCCACACCGGCACGGACAGGCAGACAAATAGGACCTTCCCGCCACCCCGCAAACTGCGAGCACCTGCTCAGGGGTGGCTCTTCCCCATAACCCCTAGGCCGAAGTGAGGGGCTCCTGCTCCCAGCACCCAGGGTCCCCGGGCTCCCCCACCCCGAGCTATGCATTCACATGACTGACAACACACCGCTTTTGGCACACTGCAGGTGTGGTGTAAACATCTGCCCGGCTGATGGGACGGAAGAAAGAACAAATGTGTTCCCTGTGTACCTGCCACCCCCATGCTCACCTGCAGAGAGCCCCCCCTTCACCTCCATGGCCATTTAAGCCGGAGCTGAGGAAGAGTGCTCGAAATTGGACACTCAACAGTAGCGGAGGGACTATGAAGAAATTACCAGAAAAAACAAATTGCTTTCCTCGGTAATGACTCCATTTTCCAACGTGCTGCATCCAGGCAATTCCTCTAGCAGAGGCCAAAATACGGGCGAGTTTAAACAGCACATCTTTGAGGAGGGTCCACAGGGGATTAGAATCATTGATTCAAATTTAAAACCGTCTTTTAAAAGAGTCCTGAGTCTGCGTGCTACCCTCTGGTGGGGGGGGTCATTTGTCCTTCTGCGGACCTCGTGCGGCCCCACGGCCAGGGCTGTTCACAGTGTCACGGAGCTCCCTGTCTCGCCCAGATTCAATCCTATCCTTCATGGGTCACTGCATCGCGTCTGGATCATTCCTCCCTGCCCCCTGGATGTGTGGCGGGGAAATGAGGCACCCTGCGCCCCAGGCGTGCTTGCTGCTGAGCAGGAAGGGGCACCTTGGGACGTGAGGCAGGAAAGCAGCCCTCAGGGCTGGGGCCTTGGCGGGCTCTGGGGAGCTCTGTGTCTGTTGTGTTGAACATATCAGCCTGGCCAAACCTCCCTGCACAGCACAGAGAGGGCACCAGTATTTGAACCTCACCAGGGACTCTACAGAAAAGCAAAACACTATATGGAGGGAGAATGCACCTTGGCAAGCATCATGTTAGAAGAGGGAGGGAAGAAAAGGGCTTTTGTTCTTTTCCTCTAAATATTTTTGGAGGGATGGTAAGAGCTTAGGGCATGGGGCACGCTAGCAGAGAGAAGACAAGCAGGACGCAGCAAAGTGAACTCCCAGGAGCAGGTTTGCGAAGCTGGACGCTACCCCCAAGACTGCCACTAACAGCACACAAGTCACCTAGCTCTCCAGATCCTGCCGCCTTCATTTGCAAAGTGATGGGAAAAACCATGGAGGCTGCACGCCCACAATATGCGTATGCGGTCTTCGCCTGTCCGCTCGCCCACCTACAACCCTGGGAGATAGGGAGCACTGTCTCCACTGCAAAATCTCTAAGAGACTGAGAAGGAGCCACACAGCCAGGAATGGTAGAGCTGGGGTTTGAACCCAGATTTATCCAACATCCCTCATGCATGCCCCACCTCTCTCATAAGGTCACAAGTGGCGACAAAAAAAGCTCAGCATGTGACCTCTGTGTTCCAATAGGCCCAACTGCTGTCTTAACACAATTGGTCATGGAGACCACTAGATTCAAGGGCTATTCCTTTCCAATATTCCGAAAAGGCTGGAAACAGGAACAATGTTGGCCAACATCCATTTCTAGCTGAACATCCATTTCTTGCTTCTTCCCTAAGACACAAAGTCCACAGAAGGTGTCTTGGGCCTGAAGGGCTGTGCGGGTCTGGCTTCTGGCTCCCGGGTTAGTCCCAGACACTGGCCAGGCTGCCCCATCACCCTTCTGGAATCCCTACTGGGGGCCAGTTCAATAGTGATTCTGTAGGGAGAGGGACAGGCAAGTAAGGAAAGAGGAGACAAAGTGACATACTTATTTTCATTGCTGGCATCATATCGTGGGGATGGGTCATAATCATTTCCGTTGACATCATAGCTGGCGTAGGAATCCTAAGAGATGAAATCTTAATGACTGAGGGAAATTAAAGCATGCTTTAAATGTTTTTATGCAACTATTAGAAAGTTAGAGAAAAACACACACTTGGTGCTCTCGTATGATAATTATCATCTTACATATATTCTTATTGTGGTAAAATGCACACAACAAAATGTACCACCCTAACCATTTGAAAGTATAAAGTTCAATAGCATCAGACTTCAATGGTTACTCAACATCACCACCATGCATCCCTGGACATCTTCGTCTTACAAAACTGACACCCTGCACCCATCAGACACTAGCCTCCCCCTCCCCCAGCTCCTGGGAACCCCCACCCTGCTTTCTGTCTCTATGAATTTGAGTTCTCTAGGTGCCTCAGATAAACAGAATCATACAGTATTTGGGGTTCTTGTGTGTGTGTGTGTGTGTGTGTGTGTGTGTGTGTGCGTGTGTGTGCGTGACTGGCTTCTTTCATTTTTTTAAGTATGTATGTATGTATGTATGTATGTATGTATGTATGTATGTATTTATTTAGAACAAGCAGGGGAGGGGCAGAGACACAGTGAGAGAGAGAATCCCAAGCAGGCTCTGCGCCTCAGGGCAACTTGGGGCTGAAACTGATGAACCGTGAGATCATGACCTGAGTTGAAATCAAGAATCAAATGCTTAACTGACGGAGCCACCCACCCAGGCGCCCCTTATTTCACTGAATTCCTCAAGGTTCATCCATTTTGCGGTATGTATCAGAATTTCCTTCATCGTATACTTTTAATATGTATGTCTTTGTTTATATACCCATAATCATAGTATTCATATAATTTCATATCTTCCTTCTAAAACACATAAAAGTCCTCAGTTGTTGACTTCAAAACTGTCATTTTAAAGGGCTGCATGAGGTCTATGAAACAGATACGACATGGTTGACTTAACCATTGTTAGGTACTCAGGGTCCTTAGGATACTGAATGCATTTCTCATTCTCACTATGCGCCAGGCTGTCTTCTTGACATTTATGAAGACATTTAATCCTTACGATAACCTGATGAGATACCATTTTACAGACGGTGACACTGAGGCACAGAGAAGTGAAGCAACCTGCTCAAGGTCTCAGAGCTAATCAGCTGCAGAGCCAGAATAGGAACTCAGGCAGTTGGGTCCAGAGCCCAGGCTTTAATCACGTCCTGTTCCTTGTTGCTCATGTTAGTATGACGATCATCCACACATGTGTTTCTGAATTCTTTAGGATCTATTCCCAGAAGTACATGTGACTCCTCAAATATCTAAAAAAATTGTTCTGTGAAATCCTGGGCTCCAGGAGGCAGAGGGAAGTATGGTTTGTCAATCCTTCTCAACATGGTTTTCTGTATTATTTATTTGTTTAGAGCATGAATGAGGGAGGGGCAGAGGGAGAGGGAGAGAAAGAATCTTAAGCAGGCTCTATGCTCAGCACAGAGCTCAATGCGGGGCTCAATCTCATGACCATGAGATCATGACCTGAGCTGAAATCAAGAGTCCAACATTTAACCCAGGTGTCCCTCTATATTGTTTAATACAGTGGGTGAGGGGAGAGAAATGGCACCTTATGGTTTTTAAAATCTGGATTTATTTAATGACTAGCATGGTTGAATATCCTTGCACGTTTCTGGGTTTGACTTACATAATTCGGGGCCAGGTCGGGGTGATTCCTCTCTATGCCATCATCAAGGATGGTGACCACCACATTTTTGCCCGTGTAGCCCTTCTTCCACGCTGCCTGGACGTTCATTTCTGACCGGCAGCGGCTGTTCTTGTCGCCACAGTGCTGTAGGCACAGAAGACACAAAGCCCCCCCAGCATGGGCACTCCTTGCGCCCATACTGTGGCATGAGATAGACATACCATACCGTGTAAATGCAGTAGGGGAGGAAACATTTCTCCATGCCTTAGCAGAGAGACTCTCCCACGCATTTCCAGGAAGCACTCCACGTGTTTTCTGCACCCGGCAATCTACCTGCCCATTTTCCCAGGGCATTATCTCCCTTTTTTTGGGGGGGGGGCGGGGCTCTCATTTCACTATTAGTCCTGAGTTTGCCTTAAATCACTCTCCTGCTCAAGGGCTCCACCACCACCCCCTGGAGACTTTCACATAATTTCTAAAAAATTTTCATGAGAAAGTTTGTGCTACCCAGCATTAAAAAGTAGGGGTTTCTCACCCATATGAAGTGTGTCTGTTTCGAGTTGTCGTGAGAATTTAGCTTTGCTGGGGGAACTGAACCCATCTCGGGAACACAGCGCTGCCGACGCCCTGGGGGCAGCAAGGCCCACACCCTACTCACCATGTACCACATGTTGGACCAAATGGGGTCGTTGAAATAGAGGGCCTGAGGGTCACCTCGCACCTGCCTCTTCACCCTGCGTTTAACTTCTTGTTGTTGGAGCCATTTCACCTGGCAGGGAGAAATGAGGTTACTCTTCATTTTAAAGAGGATCTCATGATCACCTGTAGCTTCTCTGTGGGTGCTACAGGTGTCCTTTTTCATGAATATCTGTGGCATAGGGGTCTTGGATGGTAAACACCAAGGAGACATTTTCACTCCTAGTGACAATATTTAAATCTGAGAACTTGTCTGTGTATGTGGCAGGGAAAACAGTGCCACTCTCATAGGTTTTGAAATCGTTCTATTAAAATGAAAAAAATCCAACAAAAACAAAAACAAAAAAAAGCAAAAAAAGACTTTGTGGAATTGCCAGCAAATTGTCTGGTGACCCTTGTCCAGAATATGAAGGAACTCCATGTATAAGAATGGTGAGAGCAGAGCAATTGATCAAATGGTTATTGGCAGTTGGAAGCAAGATATTCTACAGAAAGGACAGGAATAAGTAAATTATAGTAATCCATACTTTGGAATTTTTAGCAGCCACTGGCAACATGGTACCAAAACAAGCACAGAGAAAGATCTAGAAAGAGGTACAGTAAAACATTAATAGCAGCAAATCTTTGTTGGTGATATTATTGCTAATTTAAAATTTCTAAATTATTTTCACGGTTTTATAAATCTTCATTTGGCATAACTTGCCTTCACCACCAAGGAAAAGTTTGAGAGGGAGTATACTTGGTATTTAAGAGCAGGAATCTAGGAGCCTCCTTGCCTAGATTCAAAACCCAGTCCCATACTCACCAGTGGTATGACTTAGAGCTGTCTGGTAACCTCCCTGGCCTCAGTTTGCTCATCTGTACAATGGGCATCATAATGGGTTGTCATGAGTGGGCACTGGCATATGAACTGGTGTACATAAAGCGCTCACATCTGTGTGTGTGTGTGTGTGTGTGTGCTTGTGTGTGTGTGTGTGTGTGTGTGTGTGTGTGTGTGTTTA